TAAACAAAAGTACATGGAATGAAATTATGTGTATGAAAATGTTGCCCACTTTTAGCAATAGGTTTACCAACAACGTAGTTATGTACATAGACATCATGTAATATGAGTAATATTTTATTATATTTTTAAAAATGTAATATTTTAAACAATCATCTGGATTGATCAGCATTCACCTCCTTCCAACATGACCAGCGCTCAAAACACTATGGAAAACATTTTTTTTAAAAGTTAATGTTGCCGAAACCGGTTTGGCTCAGTGGATGTTCCAACATGACCAGCGCTCAAAACATTATGGAAAACATTTTTTTAAAAGTTAATGTTATCTGTGTTTTCACAGTGACATTGCACCCCACTGCTCCATGGTCCCTCCTCCAGGGGTCTTTGGACAAACCAGAAGGGTATGAAATGCCACAGTCCCTGCTGGGCTCCCATCATATTCTTGGAGATAACTGCGCCCTGGGGTCTAAATTCTCGATGAGCTCAATGCAGGCAGCCAGGTCCATCCCGAAGTCAATGAACTCCCACTCGATGCCTTCCTTCTTGTACTCCTCCTGCTCCAGCACGAACATGTGGTGGTTGAAAAACTGTTGCAGTTTCTCGTTGGTGAAGTTGATGCACAGCTGCTCCAGGCTGTTGTACTGGGTGTTTCAAATAAAAAACAGTTTGAGGGAGTTTGGAAATTCCGTGGAGATCCAGTAAAGCAGACACAGCGTGGGAGGGCCTTTTTAAGCCAGTCATCTACTCAACAACTCACATCGAAGATCTCAAAGCCAGCGATGTCCAAGACCCCGATGAAGTACTGCCTGGGCTGCTTGGTGTCCAGCTGCTGGTTGATGCGGGTGACCATCCACAGGAACATCTTCTCGTAGATGGATTTGGCCAGAGCACCCACGGAGTTGGTCACCTTGAGGAAGGATCACCCACTCAACCCTCAAATTAGTGTGTTTATGGTTGTGTTAAGTTGACATCTTGACGATTAAAAACAGTTAGAAATGACAATTTTATATAGTTCAACCTAATACGAACTATTTCTTGAGGTTTTGCCCAGCTCATAATGTTTCTCCTTTCCTGAGAACTATCCCGTTTCTACATTTCGTTTTCTAAACACTCTGATGGTAACACTTGACTCTAGCCCAGCCGTGGGTAAACTACGGCCCACGGGCCGGATCTGGCCCATTTGAAATGAATAAAACTATTGAAAAAAAAAGACCGTACCCTTTTATGTAATGATGTTTACTTTGAATTTATATTAGTTCACACAAACACTCCATCCATGCTTTTGTTCCGGCCCTTCGGTCCAGTTTAAGAACCCATTGTGGCCCTCGAGTCAAAAAATTTTCCCACCCCTGCTCTAGCCCTTGGCCATACTTAATTGAACCAGACATGGATATTTGATCCAAGTTGGGTTCAAAAGAATGTCTTTCCTGAGAATTTGGAATTGGGATAAAACGACACTGGTCTCAGTCGCAGGGGGAGGCTAGAACCGTGGAGATACCAATGTGGGAGCTGCAGGGCGGCTGTGGGCAGGAGAGGTCGAGAAAACGTATCTGCCTAGTGAGGGCACAACAGAAAAGAAGAGCAATGGCCGCCCAGGGAGCCCCAGAGAAGGAGCTGGAGAGAGGGCGCCTGCCTCTGGAAGGCTCTTCGGTCCCGGGCTCCAGGCTCCCAGGAGACCCAATGGGCACGCCTTGATTTGCGTCCCTTGATGAACCCCAACGTTGAAGCCAGTTTCATATGTATTTCTGATACCTGCAACCCAACCAACTTGAAGATGATGGTGAAAACAGCAAAATACCCGAGTCAACGAGATTCAGAGCATCTCCGTTACCTGCTGGACATTTTGCCCTTTAGTGACATACTCGTTCCCGACCTTCACCCTCGGGCAGCACAGGCCTTTCAGCATTTCTGCAGAATTCAGACCCATCAGGTACCCAGCTTTGTCAGCCACTGAAGGAAGAGGAGAAACGGCATCACACAAACACAGCAGGTGCTACAGCGTCCAGTCGGGCCCTCCCGGAAATGTTTTCTAGAATCCTTCTTGGTGGTTTTATGTTCTATGTGCGCCAGGCCTGGCCTTGTCCAGTGAAGCTTAAAGTCCATAGTCCAGGGCTCCAGGTTTTAAAATGTTTTTTTCAATTTGCCTTCTAGACACAATCTTTAATTATAGGTTAATCTTGCTCTACTGACATTTAAATTTTATTTAAAAATACAGTTACATATTGGAGTCTGCTAATACAACAGAAGGTTAAGTACCTTTCTAATTTGTGCAAGACACTGTACTAAGAGCTGAGAGAGAGGTATGAAACCTGACCCAGTCTTTAAGCGTTGGGAGATGGTCAAAAGCAGTTGACTCTTGGCAATTTATAGTTCATTGGGAGTTCAGTTAGCTTTGGGATGAGGCTGGCTCCTGGCATTATGCTCACGGAGAAGATGGAAAATGCTGCTCCCCAGGGACAGCTCCTCCTTGGTGGAGACCATCTCCACATTGCTGGTTGGGGAGTTAATGAAAGTCAGCGCAGTGTTTGTTAAGTATTTGATAAGAGGCCAAATGCACGCATTACTCCTTGCTCAAACTATGGGTTTTTTTTTCCTGCTGTGTCCATTTTGGTGTTTGGTACCATTATCCTTCTAGTCACTTACTCTTGAAAGCTTGGAGTCCTTCCTTCTCACTAATGGCATGCCTCTGTCCAAACAGGCACCAAATCCTGCCCATTTCACCTTCAAAAAAGCTGGCATCTCCGTTGTTTCCAAGAGTTGTGGTTGGGCACAGTATGGTGACAGAGAGCCTGAGCTCTAGCGTCAGTCTGCCTGGGTCAGACATTGTCTATGCTCCCTTATGCCTCAGTTTTCTCATTTGCACCGTGGCTGGGTTGTTGTGATGCAGACCTGGTGCACGGTGACCACTCAGTGAATATTAAATGAGATTGCTACCACCATGAGAGCTCACCCCCCCGCCAGTCCCCCTTTCCCCATTCCAGACTCTTCCTGACCCTGAACACTGAGCACCCGGATACCAGGGCTGGGAGAGGGCAGGGACCCTGCTGTCATATGTGGCAATATGGTCTGCTCTTGTTGAGGAGCCTGATACATTTTTTCCAGGGTCCCACACTCTTGGTGAGTCTGACTGCTTACAGATTAATTCCAGGTTGTCCCACATACGTCTGAGCTACCTGGGATATCCATAGCTTCTGGTGTCTACCACATACATTCTCTAAGCCATTTATCCTGGCACCCAAGGCCTTCCCAAACTGATGCCAAAATAATCACCTTTAACTATCATCTCTTATAAATCCACTACACATATCCTCTTCTGTAGCCCAAGTGGACCACTCGCTGCTCCTCAGTCCCATCACCTTCCTTCCTCTGCCCCTGGCTCATGATATTCCTTCTGACTAGACTGCTCTCTCACCCTCACCTTTCAGAATCCTACCCATCCTTCAAAGTCAATGTTAGTGCCCCCTCCTCCAGGAAGCCTTCCCTGATTACCCCAATCAGAAGTGCTTCCTGCTTTGACACACAGTTTCTCTCCTGTTACCACCCCATGTGCACCATTGTGATAGGCAGGATTCCAAGATGGTGCCCAAGATTTACACCCCCTGCTGGACATTCCTTATATAATCCCCTCTATTTGCATGTGGGTGAAACCTGTGAATGTGATAGGATATTATTTCTGTAATGAGGTTACTAATCAGCTAACTTTGAGTTACTAAAAAGAGTTTGTCTTGGGCAAATCTAACTTAATCAGGTGGACCTTTATGATCAGTGACTATATATATATATATTCCTGGCCTTTAATGAGGCTGAGGGGAGTGGTGAGATCCTCCACAGGATAGAGGAAGATTTGTACACTGGCCCTTGGTTCAGGCTCAAGTTCAATGGATGTCAGAGTGGAGGAGAAAGTGATGGGAGGGTGAAACCCAGCTGCCACCTTACTAATGGCTTCGTCTTCGGTCCGGTGATTAGGAAAGTGTTCTGGATATTAATAATGATAGGCACAGAGAGAAGGGGAAGTTTGCTTTACCATCTCCTCTCGCCAATGCCCACCTTAAGGTAACAGGGAAACTGCTGGTGAGAGAGAGCAGCGTGGATGATGATTATCCACATGAGATTTAGGCTTTTGGTTTGTCCAGGATTCACCGCCATAGGGTTCCTTGACCGAGTGAACCAGCTCCCCCAGCATGTGCACAATGAGCTCTGGGATCCTCACATTCAGTTTGTACAGTTTCCCAAGAGCAGCTCTTGAGATGAACACGTTTATCTCACATGGGCGCGCAGGTCGAGAGTCCATTCCAGCCCCCTTCCCAGATGCGGTTACCTTCCGTGCCGTCGGGCTCCGCCTGCTCCTCCCGCTGCTTCTGCTTGAACTTCATGTTCCCGTAGTGCATCACGGCGCCCGTGAGCTTGTAGATCCCAACCTTCTCCTCGGAGCTGAAGCCCAGGATGTCAATGGCATTCTGGGAATTGAAGAAAGGACAGCGGTCACGGTGGGACACAGGGTTGCAAATGCAGCTTTTCTCTGGCAAAGACCTCACTCAGCCTCTCTGTACAGCACATGAGGCAGCCCTTGCCCACATACGTGGATGACAGGTGGGGTATAATAAGTTAGGGGTTAAAATTGTTTCTTTAATTTAACATGTTTGTGTGGGTGGCTGGAGATTATGGGAAGGAAATGTGAACAAGTTTTGTTTCATTCAACAGGAACTGACTTTAGTCCTTTCCCACTGTACATAGATTTGGGGAGGATATTTTCTAAATAAGGCCATTGGGAGCCATTGTGTGAAACAGGGAGAAGGAAGTCTAATGGCTAGTGCCAGAGAAATAATGTCCAACAGCTTGAGAGGTTGGCATTGCAGTCCAGGAATTCCAACACTGTCCAGAACCAAGCATAGTTGAGAACTGGAAGGGACGCTCATTAAAGAGAACACCCTCATTTTTCAAATGAGAAAGTAGTAACGTTTGCAGAGCCCTCTGTGTATTAAGCATGGAGTTAGGCACCATCCATGTTATCTCCTTACGTCCCTGTGAGAATGTCACAGGTGTACAGATTTTTCCAAATGTCCAGGTAAAGAACAGAGGTTCTAAGCAGGGTGAGTATTGGGCAGGATGCGAGAAGACGGGGACTCGAGATAGCACTGGGTCACTTCAAAGCTTACAGCAATTGCTGACTCAGTTTTATAACCACTTGGCCCATCCTCTACTACAAAAAGTAGTAGAAGAGGGATACATATTGATTACATATCCGGGTTTGCAGGCCGAGCCTAGTCAATGCCACTGGCGGAGTTGAAATGTCTCTGGACATGCCTGGGGAGCTGGTGGGACAGACCAGGAGGTCAGTGTCAGCAGGACGGTATTGCAGAGCGAAGATCTCTTGCTGTGGCGCCCCCTTTGGTGGAGGGAGAGTTCCCACCAGGAGGTGAGGAAGGAGGAGAGATTCTGACTCCCCCACCCTGTGATCCCACATCCCACCCCGGCAGATGCATGTGTGTCCTGGAGAGGGGCCTCTGAGGTCAAAGGAGAAAGAACTGTCGCTAAACTGAAGGGAGCCAGGTGAAGGCATTGCTGCCGGGGAGCCTCTTGGAGAAAGCCATCCCTCAGAGGGAGCGACCCCTCTCCTTGGAGATAAACCATTCAGAAGAAGCGGGGGGGAGGGGGGGGCTGGGGGTGACGTGCAACAGCAGCCCCTGACAGCAGGCGACCTCCGGGGAGAACCTGAGACCCTCAGAATCATGTGGGAGGCCTTTCTCAGGGGCTGCAGGCCTCGGATCGGTTACTAACCTGCCCTTTCTGTACCTTCGGTGGGTAAAGGCTGGCGAAACCTGGTTAAAATGGTGCAATGGCTCGACTGAAGTTAACTGAACTGTATTGATCACGAGCATTATCTACCTGCTTTAGAACAATTAGCTTCACCTGGGAACCTCACACAATGACGGCCAGGAAGCTGGGCCCTGGGCAGTGCTCCTAGAGCAGTGATGGCGAACCTATGACACGCGTGTCAGAGGAGACACATGAACTCATTTTTTTGGTTGATTTTTCTTTGTTAAATGGCATTTAAATATATAAAATAAATATCAAAAATATAAGTCTTTGCTTTACTATGGTTGCAAATATCAAAAAATTTCTACATGTGACACTGCTGAGCTCAAAAGTTTCGCCATCACTGCCCTAGGGTGCCGGACAAACCCCTTTCCACAGCTCTTGTAGCTTCTGTGCGGATACGGCCAGCAGGGTGGAGATGGATTGCTCAGGGATGGTGTATTTTAGTTAAAAATGTAAATTCTGTAGTTGAGCAGACCTGGGTTCAGACACTTTCTCTGTCATTTATGAACTCTGTGCCTTCAAGCAGATTTGTATTTTTCTAAGATTCTGTTTCCACCTTTGTGAGGTGGGGGCCATGGTGGTACCTATCCCAGAAGGGGTGTTGAGGCTATACTGAGGCCATGCAGCCACAGATCTTAGCTCATGCAAGTGCTCAGTGGATTGGGTCATTGTTATTGTAGTTATTAGCCCTGTAGGTGCTCCCCCAAGCAGTAGGCAGAGACCTGAGGGCCTGCTGGGACCCAGGTGCCTGACAGGAGCTTGAGGTGGTGGCAGCAGGAGGGATGGAGTGGCTGCTACAGACTGGGGTTGTCTCTTCCTGCTTATACTTTTCTGCATTTTCTAACTGTTCTTAGAGAACCATGCAGGTGGATCTATAACCTGAAAATGTCCAACAAATCCTTTAAAAACCTGGCACATGAAGAAATGTACTCTAAAATCCTAGCGAATGAACAAAGGCTGCTTTGGAGAACTCTCCACACTTCCATTCTGAAGTGGAGCTCATTGCAGAGGGTGCTAATTCCCTGAGCTCTTGGGTATAATCGCCCAGCAGCCCTGGATCTCAGTTTTCTCATTAGATCTCTAAGGTGCCTCTCAGTTCATAAACACAATAATCCAAGCTTAAAGAAATAAGTAGCACACGCTTACATCAGTTGCCAACAGTTCTTCGCTATCATCGATGCTGGCCACGGTGACCTCTCCTTGGCTCACGAAGGGGAAGTCAAAGGGGTTGGTTGAGATCAGAAGCAGGTCTGGGAAACACGAAGATCCATTAGCCTCTCAGGCACAGCTTATGCTGGTGGTTTTTGTTTGTTTGTTCAATGTGACTGATTTGGAAGATGAGAACAGTAGTCTAAGAACTTACCAATTAGTTCTGGCTTCTTGTTTGACATGATTTGGTAAAAAATATGATAGCTCCTCTCACTGGATAACTGAAACGTCACTCTGGATTTCTCTAAGAGATCTAAGCAACAAAAATAATGTGATTTCAGGTTCCCCAGAGATGCCTTTGTGGCCAAATACCAAGGTACCAAAATAGAGTGTTTAGACTCACAGGTTTCAATGTCTGCCGATGCCAGCTTTCCTGTGGCTCCAAAATGAATCCGAATGAACTTCCCCTGTCCAATGGCAAGTGGACAAACACCGGAGTAATTTTACTTCCTTGGTCAAATTTTCAAACTCTTCATAAAACTTTTGACAGTCTGATGGGACCATCTGTCTGACTTATTTTTTGCTTTTGGCTGTTAATTCTGAGATTCCTTGCCTTAGTTTTCCTTACTGCAAACCTATCTCCCAGGCTCCAGCCAGGCTCTCTGGCTCCCAAAAGACCCACTGAAAGTCTGAATTCTCCATTTTGGGGGGAGGAAGGGGTAAAATTGTGTGTGTGTGTGTGTGTGTGTGTGTGTGTGTGTGTGCACGCTCTCCCTTCTTACCTTACTTGCTAGAGTCCTCTCTACTACACTGTGAGCAAATTTGAGGGTCAAAATGTTGCCTTCCCTGTTTACCCACGATCTGGCATGTAGTTGGTTCTCAAAAATATTCTCAATATTTTCTGAATAAAGCTTAAGAGGAGTTAGTGAAGGGTCAGTGGGGGTATGTTTGAATTTTAAGTGTTGGGTCTTCAGTATTGTTACCTGCTGATTGGAAGATGATGGAAAATTTGCCTGCACGTGTTTGTTTGGAGGGTGAGAGGTGGACAGAATAACCGGAATGGTTGCGACCTCTGGGTCAGGGCCAAGAGAAGAGGCCTTGGACAACATAAATGGGAGTGAGGATGGGGAGTACCTGAAAGCATCGTCTTCCATTTGAAGCTGGTGCCGGGTTAGTGCAATGACTAATGGGTCCAAGTTTGTGTAACACATTCTGCTGTGCAACACGGCCCTTACACGGAAGAGTTTCGTTGTGCACTGGGAAGACAGATGGGCAAATGGGCAATGCACAGAGGACCAAGCGAAGGAAAAAGAGGCCATGGCTTGGAGCCACAGTCTTTAATTCACGCACCTGCCTTCTCATCAAATATGATTATATCTTGGAGAGGGAGCAATAAAATGCAAGCTAGAGATCATTCTGCTATCGATGTGTGTGACGTTTTGATGCACTTTTGCAACTACAGGCATACATGAAGGCTTTCCCTTAGGGTTCTCGCTCCACTAGCCAGTGAAATTAGTTAGAGGGCTGGATTTTGTTTGTGTTTTTGTTTATGGTTTTTTGTGTGTGTGTTTTTTTTTTTGTTTTTTTGCCAATGTGGAAGTAAATGCATCCTTGGTGGAGCTAATATTAAGTGAAATGTTGATGGATGAACATATCCTTTAATATCTTCAATATCAGCTTCTTCCCAATTTTTGAGCTCTTTTTCCTTCAACAGGTTTTCCTTACTCCCAATGCCTCCTGACTCGGAGGAGTTCTAATCTGCTAACTTCATTCACACTAAGGTTTCTGTGGGTAATAAGTCAATGGATATTGCTAAATGGACTTCCGTGCTTTAAAATGTTCCCACTGAGAGACGCCAACTTGAGCATAAAGGAATTGCTCTCCCCTTGTGGAATTTGAATCATGTGGCTTCAGGATGCTCTGAGGTGATGCTGACTAGTTAGGAAAGTTAAATTGTCCCTCTGCCAGGAACAAGCCAACACGGTTTTTCAAAATGCATGAGAATATCCCGGTTGGGTAGATTGGCCATAATCACGTGGGGACAGAATAAGGCCAGCTACGTTCTAGTTTATGGGGCACTTTTCATAGCCGGCGCCGGAAGGAGGGGCCTGGTTTGGGGGAGGGTTGAAAACTGGACTGAGTCTTACAAATCTCGAGGAGTTGTCATTCCTCACGGTCTTGGCGTTTCCAAAGGCCTCCAGCAGGGGGTTGGCCTGGATGATCTGATCCTCCAGGGTCCCCTGGTAATAAACAGGAAGAAGAAAAGGGAGGACGTTAAACGTCTTCTGAAGTAGCCCCTTGATGACTCAAAAGTGTGGATGCTCTGGGCAGGGTTCAGGGAGAGATGTTGACCAGCTCACCTGGTGGCCAGTTCAAAGTGTACCCACAGCCCCACCCCACCCGAGGAGGCTTCCAGATCCCACCCTAGAGGGGGTCTTATTTGCACAGCATCCAGGTGGCTTCTGCCACAGCAGGGTCCAAGTCCATCCTGATTTCCCTGGCTGCCTCCCTTCTCTGATAACATCTCATTATAAATCATAGATTTTTTTAGAATATATGCCTCTGTTACCGCATGTGTCATGACCCATCCAATATAGACATTTGGGTTCAGAAGGACACATAGAACCCATGAAATGACCTAAGAGATCACATAATAGAAACACTGCTTCTCAAAAAAACTTAAAAATAATTTTTTAAAAGCTTCATTCAAAGACATTTTTTACATTGCTTTATAGAGAGGAGAAAGGGAAGGAGAGGATAGGAGAAGTGAGGAGAGGAGAGATATATTGGTTGTCTACCGCACCAGGGCAGGATGGAACCTGCAACCCAGGTACATGTCCCCAACTGGGACTCGAACCTGCGGCCCTTATGTACTAAAAAATATTTCATGAGACTGATTCCTCAGAAGTCCACTTATAAAAATAGAGTGTTTACCCTCACCCCCTCTATGATTACTTATCATTCTGGCTCCAGAGAGGTTTGGAAACTACTGTCCAGCCCAGTGGTTCTCAAAGTGTGATCCCCGGACCAACAGTACGAACAGTGGGAATATGTTAGAAATGCAAAATATCAGGATTGTGAATGTGAGACGGAAATTTCTATCAGGAATTCTGGGCCTGGGCTCAGCCTTGGTATTAACAAGCCCTCTTGGTGATGGACGTGTGCTCCAGGTTGAGAACCACTGGCCCACACCATTTCTTCTCCAGTGGAGGATGTGCAGCTGCTCGAGGTCACTGGGCTGTTACTGGTGGAGCTGGTGCAAGAGCCTGAGTCCACTGGGTGGACCCCATAAGCTCCGCTGGGCTAGACCTTGTGCTGTGCATCTCTGCTGAGCACAGAGCTCTGCATACACGTGGCGCCCACCCAGCGAGCCTGGGGTGGAGGAAACTGCTCACCTGCATTTTGCCTGACTGTTGCTCCTTCTTCTTGTCCCCAGTAACTGCAATTGTTGCAAAGTACTGGATGACACGCTTGGTGTTCACCGTCTTCCCCGCACCAGATTCTCCGCTGTTGATTTAAAAGTAAGTGACGTGAAGGAGTGGAAAGGGTGGCGCTGGCTCCCAGTCATCATGGTGCAAACACAGGTTACTCACGTGATGAGAATAGACTGGTTGTCTCGATCTAGAAAGACACAGGGAAGCAAAACAAAATGCATAAACAATAAAAACAGAGAATATAAAAGTTGGGCAACGTTGGGGGTGGTTAGAGTCTGCCTTTGCCACGAACTAGAAGTGTGGTGATCTGGACATGTGTAAACTTCTTCGAGATTATTTGTGCAGATTTCCCAAACATGTCATATGGGCAGCATGGGAAGCGAATGGTGAATCCCACAGTTCAATTAAGATCTGGGTGGCTTGTGTTCATAGATCTTAATTCTTCAGTGGCACTTCCTCATCTCCCTTTTTAACAAAGGAAGCCTCAGACTCAGAGCTGTGAGAAACCACATCTTTGAATTAGAATGTGTGGACACTGATGGGTTGACATTGCATTTTTCTTTTACCTTTACCTTCCCCTTGTGGAAAGTGATGGTTTTCCATTTACAATAGTGTTAAGGGTTGGAACTGTGCCTCTCCCTCCTCCCCAACTCATACAGTGAAGTCCTAACCCCCAGTACCTCGGGATCTGAGCTTATTTGGAAATCGGGTCACTGTAGATGCAATTAGTTAAGGTGAGGACATACTGAGAGTAGGTGGATACTCAATCCAATATGACAGGTGTCCTTACTATAAAAAGAGGAAATTTGGAGACAGATGCCCACAGCGAGAACGCCACATGAACAGGAAGGCAGAGATCAGGGACTCACTTCTACAGGCCAAGGAGCACTGACTATTGCCAGCAAGCCACCCGAAGCTCCAGGAGAGTCAGAAGGAACCAGCTCTGCCCAGGCTTCCAGCCCCCAGAGCAAGGTATTTCTGTTGTTAGTCCCCCGTCCGTGGTACTTTATTACAGCAACCCCTAGGAAGCTATTACAAGTAGTGATACTAATCCTCCCTAGCTTTAGACAATTTGAAGAAGAATATTAAGCATGCAGAAATGACTAGGATGGAGAATGTGACATGGGAATGACTGGTGTTTGGACAGCATTGTAGTAGATGACTCTTCAGCGTCATCAGATCCAAGATGCTTGCTTCTACTTGTATCTGCTCCATGGCAAGGCAGGTAAACGTTGGACAGACAGAAGTGATATTAGGCATGACGGTGTGATGGTATTATCACGTCTCCGTTTCTTGTGCCATTCTGGAAGTTTAGTGAAGAGAAAGAGGAGCCTGGAATTGGGAGTAAGACAGGTGAAGGGACCTTGCTGTCCCCTTTGCATTCCTAAGTGGCTACCAATAGTCTCTCTTTCATGTGTGCCCATGTTGGGGGTTCTTTGGAGGTGGGAGCAGCGCTCCTCCTGTGTTCCACATTCCCCCAGATCAGCCTGTGTTTGTGGAAGACACTGCATCCTGGCTTTCCACCATGAAATCATCTGTCTCCTAAGGTCACTTTGATCATTGAACCATTCAGATGACCGAGGCCTGTGAAGGGCTCAAATAATTAACTATAAACTAGTTTTTAGAATATGGATTGAAGAAAGTACTCACCAGTCAGCATGAACTGATAGGCGTTGTCAGAGATGGAGAAGATGTGGGGCGGGGCCTCCTGGCTCTTTTTGCCTCGGTAGGCGGCCACCACCTCGGGGTTATACACTGGCAGCCACTTGTAGGGGTTGACGGTGACACAGAAGAGGCCCGAGTAGGTCTGAGGAAAGCAGAAAATGCTGCATGTAGGTCATGTTTTTACTCAGAGAGATAAACAATAAGCAGATTGGAAGGGCGCTCACATAGATCATCCAGGCTGCATAGCGCTCTTTGAGGTTGTACAGGACAGCGGGCTCATGCAGATGGGTCATCATGGCCATATCCTCGATCTTGTCAAATTTGGGAGGGTTCATGGGGAAGACCTGGTCACTGTTCAGAATGAGAGTCTGGATATTGAGAGGAAGAATGATGATGAGAGTGGAGCGGGTGACTCATACCCCGATCTGCTGGTATAGAGGAAGCAGTGAGAGACTGCAGTGCATTTCCAGGCCCAGAGATGATCCACAAATAACTGTCCTTGATTAACCTAATTCTGATCAAAACGCTTAATCAGTTCAGGTCTGCTGCCCCCGGTCAGCATGCCATTCTATGTGTCAGGAGCAGGGTACAGGTGTGCAGAGCGGGAGAGTTCTTCGGCCCTCAGGGCCCAGATAGGACTTAGGACAGCCAGGGCCAGGGCAGTGGCCTCTGTTTACCCCCATTTGCTGTGAGCGCTGGAGTGAGACAAAGGCCGGAAGGCTGGAAAGAACGACTCCAATGTATTCTGTGCATCTCCACCTCAGTATCCACTCACGTGGGCTCTTTGTCTAGAATGTCTATTGAAATGATGTCTAGAAAATCTCAGAGTTCAGCTCAAGTACCATCTCTCCATAATGTGTTTCCTCTCTCCCATGCCTTTTCAAGGTTTTCGTAATTTTTAAAATCCTCACTCAAAGATATGCTTATTGATTTTTAGAGAGAGAGGAAGGGAGGGAGATACACTGATGTGAGAAACATCGATCAGTTGTCTCCCGTACACACCCTGACAAGGGATTGAACCCACAATCATTTCGGGGCCCGAGATGATGCTCCAACCAACAGAGTCACCAGGGCTAGGCTCTCACAAATCTAACTCTCGGTCCCTCTCCCTTCCTCTCTGTAAAAAATCAATAAAATATATTTAAAAAATAGTCCAGCCCTAACCGGTTTGGCTCAGTGGATAGAGCATCGGTCTGTGGACTGAAGGGTCCCAGGTTCGATTCTGGTCCAGGGCATGTACCTTGGTTGCGGGCACATCCCCAATAGGGGGTATGCAAGAGGCAGCTGATCGATGTTTCTCTCTCATCAATGTTTCTAACTCTCTATCCCTCTCCCTTCCTCTCTGTAAAAAATCAATAAAATATATTTTTAAAAAAAGAAAAAAAAACAGTCCAAGCTCTTCCACCCTCACCTTCCCCTTTCTCCAAAGCAAACGTCACAAAAGCTCTCAAAGCCCAAGACCTCAGAGAAGGAAAGAAGCAGGAGCAAAGGTGTGTGCAGCGGCAACTCCCCCTGCTGCTTCCCTGCAGGATAGATAAATGCCAGGTGGATAGATTCCTCCGGACCCGCATGCAATTTCCAATATTCCTCTCCAAGGACATCTGACACCATCACTCACCCGGTCATCGAGGGTCTTGACCGTGACTTTGTCATCTTCTCTGCTCTGAATCATACCTTTCACATATAGTTCCTTATCATCCACTGCAAAGCAGGATTTCTTAGAATCAAATGGGCGGTTCTGCGCTTCAATTCTCTCCTTCTCTGGTTTCCGCAGATAGGGGGCGGCTTCTCCAAAAACGGCCATTTCTGCATCAGAGCTCATGGCTGCAGGGGGCTGGGAAGGCCAGAGGTGGACTCTGAGTCTGGAGTCTGGGGGGCAACTGAATCTGAAGGGCCCCCCACTGTTATCTCCATTCAGACAGAGAGCCAGATTCACCAGGTCCCGGGATTAACCGAGATCCTGGGGAATCCGGGACCAGATCTAGGGGTGTAGAGCAGGTGAGCAGGGTGAATGAGCCCAGGGGATATTTTACTCTAAAGTGATATAAGCCAGTCAATGAAGGAAAAATACCACATGATCTCACTCATTCATGGATAATAGAGACCATTATAAACTTTTGAACAATAATAGATACAGAGGCAGAGCTGCCTCAAACAGATTGTCAAACTGCAGCGGGAAGGCCGGGGAGGATTGGGGGGGCAGGAGGGAGCTGGGTAGGAGATCAACTGAAGGACTTGTATGCATGCATATAAGCATAACCAATGGACATAAGACACTGGGGGGTAGGGGAGGCCAGGGGATTGTCAAGGGCAGGGGGGGGGGGGACACATATGTAATACACTTTGTAATACTTTAAGCAATAAATAAATAAATAAAGAGAATCCTATATAATAAAAGAGAAACGTGTAAGAAGAAAAAAAGAAATGTCTGGCGAGCTGTTTTTATTTCTGAGCGCTGATGTTGGGAATCTCTTAGTTCAGCCCCGTGCCTGGAATTGTGACCCAATTAGAGGATGTCAGGGAGAGCCCAATAAAGGAGGCCTTCCTTAATTATGCATCACACTTAAGCCCCAGCATCTTGGTGTCATCACCAAACCTGAAGGGTGTCTGGGAAGAATTAGAGGACTGTTGAATTTCCTAGTAGAAACTTCAGACAACCCAGTGGAAAGAATGAGTTGCACATCCAGTATTGCTACACGTAGGTAGCCAATTATAGGCAACAAGGTGCGGGGAGGCACTGTGACCTAGGGCAATGGCTCCACATTTTCACATGCACAAAATACCTGGAGGGCTTGTAAAGACAGGTTATAGGCCTCGACCCCAGAGTTTTTTATTCATCAGGTCCCGGTGGGGCCTGAGAACCTGCATTTCCAGAGTGTTCCTAGGCAGTGCTGCTGCTGCCTGGCCAGGGACCACATGCTGAGAACTGGAGGCACGGAGCCTCCTACTGCAAGTGTGGTCCTCGACCCTGTTGACTCAGCATCACCGGGAAGCTGGTTAGAGATTCAGAATCCCAGACTCACGCCGGGTTACAGGATCAGAATCTGCCTTTTAACAAGATCTCCAGATGATTTCCATGCCTTGCAGAGTTCAAAGCATGGGGCCTAGTGGGGTGGTCTCCAAACTTTAAGTGTGTGTAGCAGTGCCCAAGTGTGACAAACAGTGTTTAATTAGATTAATAGCTGCTTTGCAACTCACTGCCCAGTGTGTGTGTGTGTGTGTGTGTGTGTGCGTGTGTGGTGTGTGTGTGTGTGTGTGATGTGTGTGTGGTGTGCATGTGTGGTGTGTGTGTGTGCGCGTGTGTGTGGTGTGTGTGTGTGTGCGTGTGTGGGGTGTGTGTGTGTGTGTGTGTGTGTGTGTGTGTGATGTGTGTGTGTGATATGTGCATGTGTGTGTGATATGTGCATGTGTGTGTGATATGTGTGTGTGATGTGTGTGTGATATGTGTGTGTGATGTCTGTGTGTGTGTGTGAATTAAGTGTCTCTCTCCACCAACCTCCCACTCATCCTTCCTGTCACTCTCTCTCTCCAAATCATCCCCATTCATCGGCCCTTCTCTAAAACGTGGCTTAAAGTCAGAGCACTGAATTCGGTCAAACCACTTAACTTCTCCAGCCCACTGTCTACTTCCACTTAAAACAAAGAAGAAAGCCTAGGGCACTGAATTCGGTCAAACCACTTAACTTCTCCAGCCCACTGTCTACTTCCACTTAAAACAAAGAAGAAAGCCTAGGGCAGTGGTCGGCAAACTCATTAGTCAACAGGCCCAATAATCAACAGTACAACAATTGAAATTTCTTTTGAGAGCCAAATTTTTTAAAGTTATACTATATAGGTAGGTACATTGTTATTAACTTAATTAGGGTCCTCCTAAGGCTTAGGAAGAGCCACACTCCAGGGGCCAAAGAGCCGCATGTGGCTCCCAAGCCGCAGTTTGCCGACCACAGCCCTAGGGCATCTCCAAGGTCCCTCGCATTGTGTGGCTTTATGATTCCTTGTCCTCATCTGCATACTGACCATAAAAAGAGTTGCATTTTACACCCACCTGCCCACCCACACGTCTCTTAAGAGAAGTTTATATTTTTTGAACAAGGCCTTTCATGTTCCCTATTAAAAGTGTGAAGTTGAACATCTTATAGTTCTCCCTTGGCAGCCACCCTCCCGTCATATGAAATGGCTCCTCATGATAACTGCTGCTTCAGTACCCCTTCCTGCAGTCCTGCCGGCCCCTTCCCACAGAAAGGGACCCACTTGCTTATCTCCGGGCTTTATTCGGACGCATTGTGTTTTAGTTGACTTCAGCCAGTGGCTCTGCGGGACCGTGTGTGACTTGTGGCTTTCATAGTAAGAGACTAGACTTCAGGGCAGCACCACAATGAGGTGCCTGCCTGCAGCCCTCACGCTGGTTGGCATATTCTCAGTTACCACCTGGGGGAAGAGGGAGGATTCGCCCATCCCGCTTTCCCCTCTCTGAAGGGGTCGCTAGCGTTGTGGTTTAAGTGGGGCTCTCAAACTTTGTGTTCTCGGAACCCCTCACACTCTTAAAAAAAAAAAGAACACAACCAGCTTTGCTTTATGTAGGTCATAGCTACTGATCTTGACTATATTAGAAATGAAAAGGGAGAAAATTTAAAATATCAATTCATTTAAAATTACTACATCATCTATTATGTCAACACAAATAACATGTTTTTATGAACATGACTATTTTCCCAAACTGAAAAAAATTAATGAGAATAGCATTATTTTCCATTTTGGCAACTTTTTAAACATCTGCTATAGAAAAGACAGCTAGGTTTTCATGTCCACTTCTGTATTCAGTCTGTTGCTATTTTTTATTGTTGTTGTTGTTGAAGTAATTATAGAAAATCAGCCTTGGCCAGGCCAGAGCGGCTCAGTAGTTGAAGCCTAGTCCACTGCACCTAAAAGGTTATGGGTTCGATCCCTGGTCGGGGTGTGTGAGGGAGGCAACTGATCAATGTTAATCTCTCACATCAATGTTTTTTTTTTCTCTCTCTCTCCTGTCCTCTCTCTCTTTAAAGCAAGAAAGAAAAATCGTCCTTACAAAGTTATGTAATTTGAAAAAAGAAAGAGTATGTCCAGTAATTGTGGATATTTTTCTTAGATATTATGCCAAAACTTGACAAGTGGTAGATTCTTAAGACTAGTTGAATGTGGAATCTGAAATTATATCCACAATTGTGTACTCTATTACATTAAAATCCATTGATCTGTATTTGAGCTTTGAATGAATCTTTTTCCCATGTAGAAAGATCATACATTAGTCATTTGAAAAATATTGCTTCACTGTAGAACTTTCCAATGTTGACACATTTCATTATAGAATATAAAGCAATCACAATCATTAATATCAGCACTGACCTCATTAGAAATTCTTCAAATATTAGGAAGTTGTTAAGCTAGTGGTGTGTTTTCAAAATTCAAGTTTTTGTTTGAAAACTCAAATAAATCATTAGTAACATACACTGTAAGTCTTTTTCTTTCAAAGTGGCAAGTATACTTAATTCCATTTTGAGAAAATGTCTGCTAAGTAGCCAAGTCTTAATAACTATAGTTTGTCCACTCATCATGTTTTCAAGTAAGAATTGTGCTTCATAAATAAATTAGAGGCCCGATGCATGAAATTTGTGCACTCGGGGGTAGGGGGGTTCCCTCAGCCTGGCCTGCACCCTCTCACAGTCCTGGGATCCTTGGGGGATGTCTAACTGATGGCTTAGGCTGCTGTAGAAGTGGGAGAGGCTCCCACCACTGCAGCTGCACTTGCCAGCCATGAGCCTGGCTTCTGGCTGAGCGGCACTCCACCTGTGGGAGCGTACTGACCACCAGGAGGCAGCTCCTGCATTGAGTGTCTGCCTCCTGGTGGTCAGTGCATGTCATGCTACTGGCCGCTCCGTCATTTGGTTGATTTGCATATTAGCCTTTTATTATATAGGATTGGTGAGTGCATGGTGCAAATCAAACATCTGTGCATGTGTTTTATCTTGAGACAACCGCCGCACACCAGAGGTGGCAGGGGTACCTTATCTCAGTATATAGAAAGTTATAAAGATGGATGTGCAAGAATTGACATATAGAGCTGACTCTTGAGCAATGAGGGGGTTGTGGGTACCGACCCCCATGAAGTAAAATCTCCGCAGGTAACTTTGACTCCCCCCAAACTTAATTACTAATAGCCTACTGTGGACCAGAAGGCTATTAATAAGTATATGTGATATATTGTATTCTTACAATAAAGTAAGCTAGAAAAAAGAAAATATTAAGAAAATCACCAGGAAGAGAAAATGCATTTATTTTAAAAAATCTGCATATAAGTGGACCTGCCTAGTTCATACTGTGTTGTTCAAAGATCAACTGTAAGAAAATCAATACATTTTACTGCTTGCTACAAAATTTAAGTCATTTTTAAATGATGCTGGCTTTTTAAATTAAACAATTTTTTTCAGGGCCAGTGTATGGCATGAAGTATACAATGACTAGTAGTACAGTTGGGTGCCGTACCTTCAATTGTAATAACCAGATGTCTACACATCTGGCTTTTGCATTATTGGGTCAACATGGTGAAAAAGGTGACTAGCGTCTGGGTAATGTTATGAAAAGTGTTTTGACCTCATGTATCTCCTGAAGGATCAATGGGCCACACTTTGAGAACAGTTGCAGTTTAGCATGAGGGAATCTTGTTAGGTTACAGGTTTACAACTTTATATTATTTACCTTGACTTAATGTTAAGCATGGTACCCAAAGTGTTGGAAGATGAAACATATCAAAACTATCTGTGGCTGGGACCGAGGAATCCGACATTT